AAATAAATGATAAAATTTATTTGGCCGAATTTTTTTTATTTCAACATCACAATCGATGTCAAAGGCAAAAGCTGTGATTTTTTCAAGACGTATATACATACAAGTTGACAGAGAATTGGCTCTTGTCTAATCAATTTGAGAAGACAAGCCAATCTTCAAGGCACCGTCAGCTAATTCGGGTCGCCAAGTTGAAATCATGCAAAATATGTGTGTATGTACATACGTACGTACGTATTTTTTAATAATAAATTTGTGTTCTGTATATGTCTTCCGTTTTTTTAAAAACAAATATACAATAGTCATATTGTACATATACGTACGTATTTCTAATGCTTAATACATATATTTTTTTACAAAATTTTCATTAAGACACAAAGTTCACATATGATACAAATAATTCTTACATATTATTGAATAAGAATAATATAAGTTCACGTACCTTGGCATTGCCGTGAAATTCCTCCTTTAAGGTATTCCATGCTTCCTTTGCAGTTGTGGCTCCCGTGATCCTTGGAAAAATCGTATCATGCATGGCTTGTTGCGGGGCATATAAGGCCTTTGCATCCTTCTGTTGATCCTCTTTAGTTGCCTCAACTGTTCCACAGTTGGATTTTTTGGATTATTGAAACCACTATCAACTGTGTTCCATAAATCTTGAGACATAAAATAGGTCTTCATTTTAATACTCTAGATGTCATATTTTTCTCCAGTGAAAATAGGAAGAGGGTAGAGTTCTGGCTAGTGGTTTCAAATATGGTTTCAACTATTTAAAAATGATAGAAAATTATTTTAGTATTCCAAACCCTAAATCCAAGTCTTGAACCAATAACCCTAGCTTCCGAGAGTTATCTCATTTATGGTTTGTAAGATGGATGCAAATAATATGTTAAAGAGTTAAAACAAATCCGTACCCAAAAATTGATAAAATAATAATAATTCAATAGAGATATATCATATTTGAAACAAATTTATTTTCATAATCTCAATCAGTTCCAGTCCTACATTCCTTTTAATTTCAACTCACCTATGAAGGGGATACGGATACGGCAATGTAATACGAAAGGCAATACGAAAAATCTCTAAAAACTAGGATATGATACGGCAATTAAAAATATATAGTTATCAAAATATTTATAACATAAAACTAAGATAAAGATACAGTAGAAGAAGAAGAAGAAGTGTTGGAGTGTGATCGTGCAAAGTAGACCTACGGCTGGCAAACTCTTCGAATTTTTTAACCAGCAACAATTAAAGCTTATCTCCTCTTTATTTGCCCTCTTAAAACCTCTAAAACGAGTTGTCCGTGCATCAAAGACTGTATCCGTTGACTCCGATACGTATCCGACGCGTATAGTAGCATTTCCGATACGGAATTCGGACCTAAATCGGAGTATATGTGATGAAACAAACCTAAAGAAAAATATAGTAACCATCACTGATCACTGCAATTAGAAGAAAAGGACTCCCACGAATGAAATAATGCAGGACATGATAGTTGCAGAAGAGATGGCGGCCATTGCAACTGCAGCATCATTCTTCTGCTCGTTCTGGTCTGCAGATTGAGGTGGGCTTGCTGGTTCTTAGACCTTGATGATCTTCTGGCCTCTCTCGCAGTGCCCAGAAACCCCAGTAATGAAATAGAACAAACCAGGCCGGTCCAATGTGAACACCGTCACACCATTGTTGGAGAAGAAGATGGGATGAGCAGAATGGCATTTTTCGTACTCGTCCTTCGTCACCACCATCACCGAGTATTTGGTAGTTGAAATCTAAGTCCATGAAAAACAATATCTACCAAAAACAAAAACAAGACCCGCCTAGCTCCTGGGCGCCCACCGCATAGGCCGATTTTTCGAAAATGACTATCTAGTAGCTCAGGGCAAGGCATCGAAGAGTAGAAGAATGAGTCCATGAAAAAAAAACATCTATAAAAAAAAAAGACCCGCCTAGGATGCCGCCCCGCCTGGTCCCCCGGGGGGGGCGGGGGCCCCCGCCTAGCTCCTGGGCGCCCACCGCATAGGCCGATTTTTCGAAAATGACTATCTAGTAGCTCAGGGCAAGGCATCGAAGAGTAGAAGAATGAGTCCATTAAAAAAAACATCTATAAAAAAAAAAGACCCGCCTAGGATGCCGCCTAGGGCCTAGGCGACCGCCTAGCTCCTAGTTGCCCGCCTAGCTCTTGGGCGCCCACCGCCTAGGCCGATTTTTCGAAAATGACTATCTAGTAGTAGCTCAGGGCAAGGCATCGAAGAGTTGAAGAATGAGATTCTTCCAAACTCCAGCACAAGAATCTTGTAAAGCTCAACAAAAGCTTGGATATGATATTATTGGGTTAGTTTCACTGGCCGTTTATGTTTGGCTGCAATTTCTCGTTGTCACCTAATCTTTCTTCAGTATCATTGATAATGTCTGATCTTCAGTATCATTGATACTGTCTGAGCTCTTCCTATTCTATGCCGAACTCAGGGGGACTATTGATTTCATTTCTAAGGGCAATGGGTGTATTGATTAGATCCAATGAGAAGAGCAGTGTTTGATTGGGCTAAACGCTTCAATATTATTCAAGGTGTTGCTAGAGGACTTGTTTATCTCCACCATGATTCCTGTTTGAAGGTAAGTAATATTCTGTTGGATGAGAAGATGAGCCCAAAAATTTCAGATTTTGGATTGGCACGTATATATATATCTTTCAAGGGACACAGAATCTAGCTAACACTCAGAAGGTTGTGGGTTGAATCTCGATGATAATGTGCAGCAGATCAAAAATGCATAACAGGCCTTGCCTTTTCTCATGCTCTTAATGTGCTTGTATCGTCGGGCTCTGATTCCCAGGTATGAATGTGCGATCTATATCTGTGCATGTCACTGTGCCTTTAAGGCTATAAGCAATGAACTAGTGACTAACAGAAGTAACTTATCACAAGTAGCCAAGCCAAAACAGATCAATGTAACTTATCACAGGTTGCATTTGACGATTCACATTAAAATCATTTCATTTATCCGTAAGTGGAGAATGCTTTTCTAAAATGCATTTCTCTAGAATTGTGGTTTACTTAGGTGTTGCTTGCCTCAGTCCTTTACAAAAAGCTGTTGGTTTTAGATTCTCTTGCTTTTAACCAATATAGTCTTTCTGTTTCTGTCCTTGAACTTCATGCAAGCGAAGCTTCAATAGTTTGACTAGGTGTTGGTACTAATCACACATTTATAAATTGCCTACGAGGATGATGGTGGTAAGACTGCTACTTTAGGTGATTAGCCCAAGCAATGAGCACAAAAGGCTGGTGGTGGTGGTGAGCAAGTTAAAGTTCTGATAATATTTTTTCTCTTTTTTCCTTTTTTTCTTTTTTTTTAATGTTTGTTTTATGTTGATGTTTCCAGGTCTGAACTTGAGTCACACAACAAGGTCAAGCATAGTGTTGAGGGTGATACCTTAATTTTGTGAAGGTTTTGGTGGTGATCGGTTGTGGTTTTATATGTATAAACCTCAGTTTTTCTATTTTTCTTTAACTCTGATTAATAATTTACTTTAAGAACACTACTTTTAACTGTTTCTTTATTGTCAACCACTTTGATTTACCACTTTTCATTCCAAAATGAATCTCGTGCACTAATTGGGTCAAATTACTCTTGGTTTACATTGAACTTGTATATAATGCCGGAATACTTGCTCTATTGGTCGTGAGAGCCTTGATTGCTATGGCTAATGTCTTAATGAAAAATTGACCTACCATAGAAATGGTTACAAGCCATGATTCTGCCAATGTCTTTAACTTAACATTCAAGGCCAAACACATGTACAATAATTTATGTATGTATATTTTTAAAATCATTAAAAACGTAATAAGCTACTCATTCATAGAAAAGAAAATAATATTATACAGCTGAATTGAAAAAAAAATACAAACCTCTATACATAATCAGGAGGTTTGGACCTCATCGTGATCAAGGCTATAGCCTTTTGAAAGTGAGAACCTATCATCTCAGGTGAAACATTTTAAGTCATGTAGATTTGTCTTACAGAACTTTATAATCTTGGTCGCTTATGTATGTTCCTATAGAAGCCTCTGCTTTTCATCTGCTACGAGTATATACGAACCTACACGGAACCTAAGTGTATGATACGAACCTACACGGAACACAAGCAAAGAGATTCTTTAAAGACTAAAACAGAAAGTGCACCTAGCAGATCAACTATGTTTAGTCATAAGAAGATAATCCAACAAAATGAAAAGAAGGTGAAACCTGGGAGTAATAGGCTCTTTTAGATATGCTCGTATGCTTGATAATGGGAGCTTAAATGCCCCTTCCATAAAAGTAGGATTCAGTTTCCCATCAAATTCAAACTTGCTAAACATGAGCTACCATAATTTTGAATCCCATCAACAAACATAGAAGAAAATGAAGTGAAAGAATAGACTAAAAGAAAGTGGCTGCAGAAATGTGCCTGCAATGACACAATATTGCTAGGGTCAAAAGGTGGTGCATCTGATACAGTTCTTGCTCGAAATATCGGCTTCAAAGAAGAAAATGGCACACGTACCTGGAAAAAAATGTGACAGATTACTAATGGAGTTTGGGATATGTAACTACAATTTTAATGTTGATCAAGGAGCTAGTGTGTTACTTATTGTCTGCCACTGGTCTCCAACAGTGTCAAAGCCTGTTGTGTAACCAACAGTATCCCAATCACGACTTGTGCGAACAACTAGCAAAAATAGATGCAAAGAGAGATGAAGTTTGAAAAATCACTAGGCGGTAGGCTAAAAGAAAAAAAGAAAAGAACCCGACCCGCCTTGTAGTCATAAGTTTGAAAAATCGCTAGGCAGTAGGCTTAAAGAACAAAAGAAAAGAACCAGAACCACTCTGGCACCCAGACCCGCCTAGCACCACCTAGACCCACCTAGCGATGCCTAAACCCGCCTAGCACCACCCAGACCCTCCTAGCGCCGCCCAGGTCGCCTAGGCCGATTTTTTGTAATGCAGAGTATGGATTGGAAGGAATGGTTTCAACAAGAGGGGATATGTACAAATTTGGAATTGTAGTGATAGAAACATTTATAAGAAGGAAGCCAACATATGAGATGTTTGTTGGGGAAATGAATTCTAAGCAATGGATTGCAAACTCACTATTACCAGATGCAATGACAGATGAAGTTGTGGATGCCAATTTGCTTGAGATTGGGACAGAGCAGGAAGATGATGATCAATGTGTGTCGCCAAGGTGGAGTACGAAGAGCTTGGATCTGCTCAATGTCGCAGGAGATTCTTTTAATCTGCAGGTGTGGGATGCAGTCACTGGACTACAAATTAAAGTGATCTAAAAGAGAAATTCATACTATGCTGTTCCATGGGTATAGCCGAGCGGCTATAAATTCGAATTTTTTTTTTTTTTACAAATTATAGCCGCACGGCTATACTTTTGAAAAATTCTATTCTCAAAGTATCGCCGGGGGTTATACTTAGGTCATTTGTTACACAGGCTTGGCTTGGACTAAATTTAGTACCATGTTTGTTTTATCTAATCCTAGTCTTAGATGGGATTACTAATACCGGGCCCACAAAAAACACCTCCGTAGGAGGAGACT